TTTGAATTTATTTTTGATGGAAAAAGGTGCAGATATTACAATATTTTTTCTTCTTTCTGCTGCCTTTTATTTTATTAGTCATTTGTATTTTTTGTACATTGAATTTGCTTTGTTTTTGAACGAAATTAATAAACTAAACTAAACTAAATGTTTTCATGGGCCAGAGGAAGTTCATGCCTGATGTGAGCAGCTGGAACGAGTGATGGAGTGGGTGAGACAGATCTTCTGTGACATTAAGTGCATTTATTAAACATTTTCTGATGTGCGAAGTATGGTAAATGGACTGTACTTATATAGCACCTTTCTACCCAACTAGGATACTTTAAATGCTTTACACAATCTGTGCCCTCATTTACCCATTCACACAGCACTCTACAAAGTTTCTACAAAGCTAACTTACAAATCACTTAAGGAGACTAATCAGTGGTTTAAATCACATTTGTTCACTGATGGGACACACATCAGAGGCATTGGGGGTGAAGTGTCTTGCCCAAGGACACCACATCTGAGACAGCTGGAATGGGGGGATCGAAACAGCGACCTACCGGGTCCAGGACGACTCCACTAACCACTCTGYATCAGCCTCCCGCAAAGCATTAAAATCCCTTTAACAGAGATCTAAACATACTATATTAACCAGCATCTTGACATTGTTTTCCTTTCACAAAAAAGAATGTTCCTGCAACAACTCCAAGAAGTCCAAGAGTCAGACCAAGTCCACAGCAAACAGCTGGACCACGGCTCTTCTCATCTGTGTCAACAACTAAAGAGGACAAGAACAGAAAATTATTCCGTTGAAACACTTTTCAATTCACCTTACATTCTTGCCAATTGTAAGTTACATTTGTTGTGCTGCTAAGTTTAACAGCGCTTTTCTTGTTCTCACCCAAAATCCTGGTCCTGGGTTCATCCAGAGCTTCATGTTCCACCGTGCAGCTGTAGGTGTCTCCTTCTTGTGGAACAAACTTCAGGTAGGAGAAGACGTGAAACACCCCCTCAGAGTTGGAAACAGTTTTGATGAAAGGAGCTTCYACCATCACTTCTTCATCATTCTTAGACCATCTGATRTTGATCACAGGAGGGAAAAAGTCGTAGACGAAGCAGATGAGGGTATTCTCTTCATAGGTTATCATTTCATCTCTGAAGTAAATCACAACTTCTGGTGGGTCTGACAGTTCAAACAGCACAGTGTTATTTAGTTATTATAATTTTAATCAAATAGTAACAGTGACAAATGTTGGAACACAAGTTGAGTTTTAATTACCTTTAGTCTTTTTTACTGACTCATCAGGTTTCCATCTATAAATATCTTTGTTGCATACATTTCGAAAATATTCTGCATAGTGGTAAGCCATTTCATAGCGTGAAGATGTCGGTATTTTGCTTTTCCAAATAACAAGACTTTGATTATAATCTGCATAGCAGACTTCATCATCATCAAATGTCACATAGGCTTGAGTGTCACCCGA